CACTGTGATCATAAAAAATGAAGCTAAATAAAAAATATATTTATAAAAATCAATTTTTTAAAACAAATTTTTTATTTTTTATTTAATATATATTTTTATAATTTTTTTTTTTAAATTCTTTATATAGTTTGAAAAATGATTCATTCCAAGTTACAATACATAATATATATGCATTACAATTGTACACATTTTGCGCCGAAAATAGAATAAAATCATAAAGTATTGTTATTATTGATTATAMATAGTTATCCATAACATGAAGACTTGMCSGTGGCTGTAACGAACCTAGCGACCATATTGTCACAGTAATTATTATAAACGTTGGTAGAGACACGTGCAAGTTATCTACATTGACTGTTCTAGCTTGTGAAACTATATCTATCTTGAGCAGTACGGCGTGTGGGTTGCAGGGGTAACCGGTCAAATTTCGTGGTGCGGACTATTTTATTTGTAATCAATGATTGACAATCATGATATTATTAGACATCAATTTTGTTTTATTCATATAAGAAAAATATAAAAATTAAACCATATACTTTAATTAATATGTATATCTATTTTTATATGGCCTGGTGAAATTTCAAAATGGCCTGCTTGAAACTTCGCACACCCGAAATAAATCTGAAATGACGCCCCTAGATACAGTATAAATGTATGATTGTGATATGTGATCAATAATTAATACCTACCACATGTCGACTTTTCTTAGAACGGGACATTTTTAGGTTCTTTGGGGACGGCGGGACACTTATCTCGAAAGCGGGACTGTCCCGCCCAAAGCGGGACGTATGGTCACGTTAGTCATGCCTGGCATACAGTAACAGTGGCGCCAAGAATTATATTTTTATTACAATAGTCATAGATGATTTTAGTAGGTTGAGTGGTAAGGGGGTCAACCTTTGTCATTCTAAATATTAAAATATACTATGACAATGGTATCATATATTATAGTTAATTGTAAACTAGAAGTCAATAATATTATATAAATATTAAATACTATACTTGGTGCATGGTAAGGTACTTATAAGAAATAGGCAGGTACCTTATGTCATGGTAAAATTTTGGATTTTGGCGCCACTGTAAAGTAATTATAATACTGCATAATAATATATTTCGTATACATGGAAACATGCAGTATATTGTAAATAAAAATGACGCTATTGTCATTACAGGAAATGAAAAAAAACAATCGAAAAGAAAAATTTACAAATTGAAGAACAACAGCAGAACAGGATAAAAGCCATGGAGACTGAAAAGGACACAATAAAAAATGCAAAACAGGAAAGAGCGGCGTTGCGTGTTCCTGCTTCGAACTCAAAAGCTAAATCTAAGAAAGTAGTAAAAGACCCGAAAATCAAGAAAGTGGAGGCGGTTCCCGCATTTAAATTGAATAAAAACCGCAGTGGTATATATACGATGACTATGAATTATTATACGATTGATGGGCGAATGGACAAGACGGAAAAACCTGTTGTATTTAAGTTAGCTGACCACACGAAGGAAATTGACGACAGTGACTCCAATTCAAGTTTCAACGTAGAATTCGTCACCCCATCAGCAATTCACGCATTGCGCTCGAATAAATCTAACAAAGCTAAAGTTGACCATCCTCCGATTACGATCGTCGAAGAAGTCCTACCACCTGTTAAACCGGTAAACAAWAAGAAAATATAAAGAATGGTTGTTTGTGCCGACTTCCGAGCTATGACTATTCCTGAACTTCCAACAATGATACTAAAGTAGAACTACTATTAGTAAGTCTCAGCTTTGGATTAGTATTTATATAAATAAAACCTATTAAATTGCTTACCCGTGTTTATCCTCTTTGAAAGCGCGAACGTGGTGTCCTCTTAGCATGTTCCAGTTCTGCGATAGCAATAGCAGTTCGAATGGATCGAGTTCTGACGGCAGTTCTGTGATGAACATGGGGATGATAAGSTTTTATGGATAACCTGAAGTATCCAGTTTTGTGGCGGTTACTGCAACTCTTCCGATTCTAATCTATGCTTTCCACGTTATCCGATAATGATTTTAACTTCATATACAACATTTACAAATTATGCAACACTTCAATACTATAAACCATTATTTTTAACAATTAATATTATTATAACTAATACCTAGTCCAGTATTAATTATATGTTTTACCTCTAGTATCGATTTATAATATAATTAAAAATAAAAAATTTCCAGTTTCATTCCCAACAAGTGAGTCCAATACACTAAAGTTAATCATCAGAGAATTTACCGACTACGACAATATTGTTATTTGTTCTCATAATAATAATTATGAAATTAATTTAATAATATAAAATTGTTAATTCAGTGGAAATTTAACTATGTTTCGTACTTTTTCAATTAATTCGTTAAATTTGTTGCACTTTGTTATTGCTCCGATAGTGATAAGATCAATRGTATGTGTAATGCATGGTATAAGCTTTTTAATACCAAATGTACAATGTAAAATGTCTCTCAGTGACTGAAAGTAGAGTTAGTTTCGTATAATAATAGTTAGATAATACCTATACGACTGATACGATTATACAGTAAAACCTCGATAAGACGGAATCGCATGGGACCATGATATTTTTCCGTCTTG